ATGGAAGATCAGAAAGGACAGAAGGAAAGTCAATCTGGCTGGACCACAGTGAGCAGCAGGACTTTCAATGATGGTAGATCTTATACAGGGTTTTACACACCATGGTAAGTAGTTTGGATTTTATTAAAGGGCCACTGAGAAGTTATTAGAGGGTTTCAGGTTAGAGGATTATTTCATGTGAGTTCATTTTTTAAAATATAATTTATACGGCTGTGTGAAAACTAGACTGCAAGGCAGTGAACACAAAGGAGTAGGGGAGCATCTGTGATGGGTAATTCTATGTGTCAACTTGACTGGGCTACCAGATGCCCAGATATTTGGTTCAACATTATTTCTGCATGTGTCTATGAGGATGTTTCTTGATGATATTAACATCTGAATCAGCAGGCTGAGTAAAGCAGATGTCCCTCCCCAATGTGGATGGGCCTCATCCAATCTATTGAAGGCCAGAATAGAACAAAAAGCAGACGAAGCATGAATTCTCTCTCTCTGCCTGACTGAGTTCAAGACAGGACATTGATCTTCTCCTTCCTTCTGATTTAGATTCAGCCTATTCCTGACCATATATATGATTACACACACACACACACACACACACACACACACACAGAGAGAGAGAGAGAGAGAGAGAGAGAGGAGAGAGAGAGAGAGAGAGAGAAATATACATAGTTCTGTTGGTTCTGTTTCTCTAAAGAACTCTGACCAAGGTTACAGCAAAGTGACAGTTAATGGGGACTTGGAGGAGATACATATTTGAGTTAAGGATGTGCTGTTAAGAATTAGCTGATGTTTTAATGTTGGAGATAAGAGTAGAAGAAAATAAAAGATTACTGCTCAATTTTGGCTTACTCAGATGGCACCACTTGGGAAAAACAGTTCAGGGAATGAGGATATTCAAAGTTGAGATGTTTATTGATGAGCCAAGTGCAGAATGCAAGTTAGTAGCTGGATATAAATTTTAGAGTTCAAGATGATGACAGATGATGAATGGATAGACAGACAGATGGAAAGATAGATGATTGATAGATAATGGATGGATGGATAATAGATATATGGGTAATAGATAGATCAGCCCTGGGGTACTCAAAAATGGAAAGCATGTAAAAGGGAAAGAAGGTCGTTTGTAAGTATATACCTTTGCAAATATTATTCTGATTTAATCTGTTTGCCATCATATAAATGGCAGAAAATGTGATATTTGTAGAGGACCACAAGGTAAACAGTAGTGGAAAGGCATAAATATCCTTTAAACATACTAGATTACAAAGAATAAACAGTTCTGTCTTAAAATGCACACTATGGCAAGAAAGATGGAAATGGATTTGAGAACAGAAATACCTAAACCAGAATAATAATTTGTGAGGCTGCTACAGTGATTCAGGCAAGACACAGCAGTACCTCCAATGACAGCCTGCTCTCCTAAGTCTATTCATCTTTCAGGTCCTCATCAGTCTCTGTTGGAGCTGTTCGTCTTCCATCTGCCCACCTAAAGTGTCACTATCACCTGGGAGGCCATCTTTGGCTTTCTTCTAACTCCTGATGCTCTCACTGTAGGAATCTCATACAAGTCCAAAGCCACGGCCACCACAGGTAAGCAGTGATGACCAATCATCAATCCAAGGCATAATTTCTTTCCTTAAGCTCCAGGCTCATATTTCTGATTGTCTATTCTATCTCAGCTATTGCATTTCAGAAGGAACATATCCAAAACCAATCTCATGCTTTCCCTCCCACACCTACTCCATCTCTAACATTCTCCCCATTTGCCAGTGGCATCCCCTGCTATCCAAGCAACCATGCTAGAAATAGGAGAATCATCTTTGAATGTTCAATTTCCCTTACAGCCCGCATCCAATTTGAGACCAAATCCTGTCAATTATATACCTATCTCACTTTCCAATTTGTTTTTTCCTCTTTGTTCCCATGGCTGCTATACATTTTTATCGTCTTTTGCCTAGACTGTGTTCCGTTTCCTATCTGTTCACAGTGAATTTTCCAAAAGAAAATCCGTACATATTTCTTCCTTACTTTCAGCCCTTCAGTGCACCCTTTGTTGTTTCTGGAAGTATTTTTCAAAGATATTTTTATAGCCATGGTCCCAGGGCTTCTGGACTTCTTTAAGCACTGACAAAGTATACATTTCTCTTTTTGTTGTTGTTTTTGTTGTTGTTGTTGTTGTTGTTGTTGTTGTTGTTTTCTGGAGAAAGAGTCTCGCTCTGTCGCCAGGCGCCAAGCTGGAGTGCAGTGGCGCGATCGCAGCTCACTGCAAACTCCGCCTCCCGGTTCAAGCAATTCTCCTGCCTCAGCCTCCTGAGTACTGGGAGTACAGACGTGCATCACCACACCCAGCTGATTTTTATATTTTAGTAGAGATGGGGGTTTCACTGTGTTGGCCAGGATGGTCTCGATCTCTAGACCTCGTGATCTGCCCACCTCGGCCTCCCAAAGTGCTGGGATTACAGGCGTGAGCCGCCGTGCCTGGCCAAAGTATACATTTCTTAACGATCATCCAAAACATAAATCTAAGCCCATTCTGTATGATAAAGATGGCGTAGCTCTGCCACATGATTTCGGTACCTGAAGAGCTGTTGGCTTAACTGTCTTATCTGCAACCAATGACACTAGTCTACTGTTGTGGCAAAGATTAAAAAAAAAAAAAAACAATAACATAGGGAAACTTAATGTCTTAGACCCAAATGTCATCCCAGCATGGTATGTAAACAAATAAAGGTGTCCTATAGTTAAAATGGAGAGATGTGAAGACTGAATTAAGCCATAACACGGTGCACGTTACTATTAGCATGGGCAAAGAAAAGTCAAAAGGACCGCACCAAGGCAAGCTCATTTCAGAGCAGCAACTTAATAAAAAGGAGAAGTAGCAGTCCTTCAACTTTGAATTCTGTTGTACGATTGTTTGTGTTTAACTTATAAGTTTCTTTTAGTTACGTAAGAGCTTTCTATGTAAGGAGTTTGTACGCTGTTTCACACGTTTTATATATATGTATATATATATATATATACACACATTATATACATATAAGAAAGAATATGATATATATAACTGAAGTGAACAATGGAAGAAGTCATAAGAGTTATTTTCCTTTCGCCCACGTCTGAGAAATGCTGGCATGCCAGCTCAAGTCCAAATGCCTCAGTATGCTGTTGACAAGTTCCTCTGTGATCCAGCCACCCCATCTCCCACTGCTAAAATATACCCCGCAGTTCAGCCATTATCAAGAGCCTTTGCTAAGTTACCCCTGCCTTCTCATGTCTATGTTTTGCATATTAGGTCTCCATATCCCTATAGTCCCTCATTCCCTACATTCACGAGTTTACTTTGAAAACTATTTGAGATATTAACTATATTCTGATTTCTTTCTCATTTCTTCCATCTTTAACCTCAATCAACTAGGTAAATTCTTGTGTTTTTTCCATAATCGTCATCAAAAATAGCACATTTCTTGATGTCACTACAAATTAAGAAATTGAGGTTCAGTCAGGTTATATAACTTTCCTGGAGTCATAGAGCTAATAAGGTACAGAGGCATGATTTGAATCTCAGCATCTAGTATTAACTGCTATGCCTTAGGTACCGGCATGCTTGTCTTTTTTTCATGAGGTCCTAAAGCAACTTAAATTTAAGGATTTTATTTAATTCATTTTTGAATTTCCAACACCTGGTTTATTTCCCAACATACAGTAGCCTCTCAATAGATAACTGTCATAGAGATAGATGAATGTAAGGATGAATATATGTGTGGATGGATGTATAGAAGGATGACTAAACTGATATGGGGATAGATATTATCACTTTTGAATACAATATATTTTAGATCCAGGACAACTGAGAAATCAATGCCCATCCTGATAACACTCAAAGATAATTTTCAGACTTCAGATCATTCTGTAACAGTATGCTTATTACCATAATAACTCCATATGTAGGATATAAGCTATAGTCCACCATGAAGACATTTTGACATATAGATTGACATGACTGGAAGATTGTGGTATTTTAATCTGCACTGGTCTTTGTTGCTTGAGACAGAAAACTTTCTGTGGTTAATTTAAATCCTAAACAGTTTGCGATTTAAAGATTTATACTGTCCTCTAGTCAAAATACTAGTAATTCTTTTATTGTGTTTGCTATTGATGGTTCTTCTGATGAACTTGCAAGGGGAAGAGGTGGCTCTGTATTTGATGTCCTACTCTAAACAGAATTCATGAAAGCTGATGTATTAAAATAACCACTCAAAAGAGCAATGTGGTTCAATTTGAATAAGGAACCCTATGATTAACTGCATTTTCTTCCTCAGGCTCATAAACACACATAGATGAGCTCTTAATTATGAATGGAGGTCACATGAATATTATTTATTCTCTGTTTAACCTGTGCTCTCAAACTACCAAGTTTTGTGATTTTATGTGGTGTTAGCTCCTTATAGTGTTTGTCATTTGAGAAATCTTGGCCTATAGACAATAGTTTCACACAAGAAAATCTATATTTTCAGTCCCAAGTTGCTAACTCTTCCTTCTTTTGCACTTTAGCCCTAATATCAAATATAAATATTATTTATAATGCATGAAACAGTCACTGAAAAATATTTTATATTATTTTACTATTTTCTCTTTATTTAATATATACTTCTTCCTCGATGTATTATTCAGAAAACTTTAAGCACAGAAACCAAATGAATGTAGAAAAGAACAAAGAATAACCCAGCAGTACCCGGTAAAATTTCTTCAAGCATAACAAATGATGTAATGAGGCATATAAATTATACCAAGGCGTATTCTTAGCATTATAAGATTGTTAGTAAAGGGAAACATTATTTACAAGTAAATAAAATCTTCTTTGTTCTCTTTGCCCACTGGCTTTGTTTCCTGAAGAAATAAACTTGGTGACTCTGAGTTTTGGAAGCAATAGAATATATTCAGGAGCAATCCTGGTTAATCCCTTTGGGTGTTCTGATAAACTGTGAAATTGATATAGAACTTACCTGTGTATTTATTCTGAACAGTAACTGAATTAGTTTGGTGACTGTAATTTTTCCAGGCAAGAAGTTTACTCAAACACTGGCTCAAGTAAATCAGAGGAGGAGGCAATCTAGTGTCATAGAGAAGGAAATCATGCAGTTATTCTTAGTTTGCCAAAGAAAAATGGAATGGAAATATCACAGACATACCTCTTGTGGCAATTTATGAAGGTTACACAATTGGTGACTTACTGAATTTGGATTTCAACTGAGATCTGACTACCATATTCGGGCAATTTCTACCATGCTGCCCTACAATTTACTTTCTCATTGAACAAGCAGTCCACACATGTAACCCTTGGTTTAAAGATGCCCATATAAGGAGAAATTCTGACCGATTTTATTTGCATGAATGTTGACAAGAAATGATGTCAGGATTCTGTTTTCCTTTGTCTAGACTCCAGCTAAGAATCCTAGCATATTTTTTTTCTGAGGGTCACAGAGCTATTCAATTAGAATAATTTCTGGAAAAAAAAAATTTAAATATTAGAAAATGAATTAGAAAACTTTTGATCTTCAAAATGAATTTGAAGATGGAGCCTCATAACATTGTTGAGTGTTCTATAAATATTATTTTAAAATTTTTTTAAAAAAACTAAAAGCAGAGAAACCTCCAATTTAAGCCCATCTGTCCTTTGAAGCTGCTGGGGCCAACCTCTCCACTATCAAATGTCCTCTGACTTCAGCTATAGGTTCACTGGTTCCCTCAGGTGTCCCACTTGTCATTTACCCTACATCTCTGTTACTGAGAATCTATTCATTTCCTCATCAATGTTCCATATATCAGAAACTTGTTTTCTCTTTCCATAAAATTAGAGAAAATATGAATCTTTATCCTCATCCTCTCTAAATTTGCCAGTTGAGATTTCTCTACCTCCCACCCCCCGATCCCCAACCCCAGTTCAGGCATAATCACTGTCCCTCCCTGTACTAACAAGCTATTCCACAGAACTTTTAAACATTAATGCCCTGTTTGGGAAATAGAGGTAGGGAGAGACTTATCACATCTCTTCCTGTCTGCAAGTGTCAGCTTTTTCTATCTTTGGGTATTCTCTCTTTTTAAAAATGGCCCATATACATAATAATCACACTCCAATTTAAACTTAAAACAAAAGTGGCTCATTTTTCAAATCTAGGAAAGATCACAGAGAAACTGAGAGTTCCAACAATCATCATGGATTACTTGTGCATGGGATATTTCTTCAGGAAAAATGTTCTTGTTGTTTATACCTAAGGCTACCTAAATCCCATTTATTTAATGGGACGTAATATAGGTTTTTGAATAATAAATCTAGTAGTAGTGGGTTTTACTATCTAAATGCCTTTTTGAAGACACATTTGCTGTCTTATCCACCTTTATATTCTCAATCAATTATATTAAGTTAAATAAAATATCAATCATACTTATTTGCATAGTAAATCTGAATTAGGCAGAACTTTGGCTATACATGGTTATTAGTTATTTAACTGGGTGATATTTGAGCAATAAAGGAGGAAAATATTTTTATAGGTTCAAAGTTACTTTCTAGAAATTGGTGTTGATACTTTTATAGGCAGATATAGTCCTCCCTCTTATGACGTTCTAACTTTGACTTACTTTTTTTAAAAAGTCATTTTAACTGAAATCTGATACCATTCACATAAAGCATAATGTGTAACTTATATAAAATGTCCAAAAAGAGAACATAATCTGAAAGAGGCAAACAAGACTAATCTGACATTACCCTCCACCTACTACTCCCTACACAACAATCACTGTGCTGGTTTCCTTGCCTTCCCTGGTTGACATTCTTACTATTAGAGATCTATTCTGCTAAGCAGAAATTCTTTCAGAAGGCCAAATAAATATTGACACATTGAAAAGGAGACTGTCTTCCCACCTCCTATGCATTAGTACATTAGAGGGCACTCATTCATCAAGTCAACTCTGAGAAGATAAAATATGAGGGTTTACTTTCAACAAGGTTATTAAGGAAGATAAAAGCTGTGGTTGAGTAGACACTGAGTATCAGGGGAACCTAATCACTTTTGACTGAGGCTGAGGTGACCAGCCCAAGTGATATATGAGGCCAGTAGCTTGTAAGGATGAAGCACCCAGGCAGTGGTCGGTGACAATAATAAAGGGAGAGCCAACCTTCCCAACGTGGGTTTTTAAGAGCTGCCATATTGCTAAGACTTGTATTCAGAAAACAAACTTAAGTTACCATATATATTTTCAGTGATGCCTTTAGAAGGAGAACAAGTCAGTTATGAGAAAGGCTCATCAATAATGAGGAATAATCTCTTAGACTCCATAGCACTATATGATATTAAATACTGGGAAATGTGTGTTAAATGGTTACAACCAAAAGGACTATTACAAAGAGTTTTTCAGCACAATAAACAGCAAACCTACTTCTTCCTTAGAATAGAACCTTGTTCTTCAGCCCAAAGCAAATGTTTCAGCTGAATTACTTTCTGGGCTTTATAAGGTGTTGACACAACTTCTACTTGCACATCGTAAATGTGCCACCCTAATAATCCGTGTTTAATTACTGTTTATTGTAAATGAATTTTCTCAGCAATCCAATGTGGTGCTTTTCATTTTTCTGTTAGTGAAGTTTCCTCTTTCAGAACCTTTGCCCCCAGCTACCAATGATATGACAATCCCAAGTATGCACCCATCCAGTGACTGTGGGGGAAACATAACTGGAATGCTGGAGGCAATACCTTTGTTGAAATTCAAGTATATAAAAACTAAATCAGCCTTTTAAAATAATAGGGAAAACCACTGTGGCTTTAAAGCAAATGTTTTCTAAAGATGGGATTATACACGCATAAATTAGTACCACTTCCATCCAGACCGAATACCCTCTCCTTGGAAGATGGGCAGCTAATTAGAATTAACAGGAACAATAATTTTCCCCATCCAGTTGTTCACATCTAATGCACACTAGACTGAAAACATGGAAATACAAATAAAAGATGTGAGACAATTTGCTTGTACCTTCTAAGTGTCAAAAATATTCTAGAGGTCAGTCCAAAATTGAGCCAGGTTTTATGAACAATCATTCTATAAAATCACAGCTGGACTTAATTGAATGTCAAAGAATAAATGTTAGAGTAACACAGTAGGCGGGAATTAGAAAAAAAAAAGTCAATTAATACTGTTTTCTCTGCAAAGATCAGATATATCAAATACTGTGAAATAAATACTTGGAAGAAGTACAGCTCATGGTGAGACAGTAGTACTATTCATTATCACCAGAGAAGGACATTACCAACATATAAGAAGCTGAGATTTTAAAACTTTTGGTAATTAATTTCAATCAGAGCTGGATTCAAGGTCAGTTGTGTAATACCAGCCATTATTTTCCCTTTGCTACCTTTGGCAGCCATTTCACATGGCTCATCCATAAATAATTAAAACCAAAGTATCTGCTGCATCAGCTTAACTACTGCAGGGAAATACAGAGGTCCAAGATTTTATTTCATTTGGAACTTCTAATAAAAAGGGAAACAACCTTCTCTGTGTATTTAGAAATGAGACTTACTTCCTGCATAAACAATAAAAACATTTCTTTTTAAGTGTTCAATATGTTCATTTCCATCTGGACCTTTCCAAACTGCTTAGGCTGAGAAAAATTATGAAAGCAAAAGCCTCGTACATGCACTGCCAGCATGAAAATAATTTAAATCCGAGGTAACCTCCAACTGACAATAGTGAGTCACAGGATAAGGCAGTATTTTGTGAGGCACATTATGAAATAACAATTTGAAATTTAGCAACATAAATCATGTTTCCAAAGCGTAACAAGGTGTCCAAAAGAACCCGTGGGACTCTCAGTTAGGACTGGTCTGGGAGGGCTACAATCTCTAGAGTGTTCATAAAATGAGAAATAGAATACACAGGGTTAAATTTGGTTTCTGAATAGGTCAACAAGTTCAGTTGGTAATATTTTAATTTCTTAAGGGGAAATGATTTTTACTTTTCTTTATTTTATGAATGTATCACTTAATTTACAACAGATGCACCTCAGGAATATATACATTAAAGTGAAGAGATTCAGTTACAACCAAAAATGCTGTATCTCTATTCAATATGTGTACATATATGCATCAACAGAAGTCTAGACTAATACCACTGTACAGAAATAAAGAACAACAAATTAGATATTAAGCATTTCATGTAACTTCCTAGCCCAGACTTAAACAAAAGTAAAATATGGAGCTTACTCAATCCAAAATTGAGAAGTACAATATGGTAAAGTGGAAATAATTCTAGATTTGAGTCACAATTTGAGTTAGAACTGTGTGAAATTGACCAAATGCCATCACGTGGAATTGTATATACTAAAGGTATTTGAAAATCACTGTACAAATTTAAAGAAATGAAAGGGCTGAAGAAAGAGGAACGAAGTCATGAAGACCAAATGAGGAACTAGAATTACACTTACATGACCTTTGATATCGTTTTGCTCATGTCCCCATCTCACCTCCAATTGTAACACCCACATGTCAAGGGAAGGAAGTGATTGGATCATGAGTGTGGTTTCCCATGCTGTTCTTGTGGTAGTGAGTGAATTCTCATGAGATGCAGTGCTTTCATAAAGGTAGTTTCTCCTGTACATACACATCCTCTCTTTCTTACCTGCCGTCAGTCATGTAAGACGTGCCTGCCTCCCCTTCCACCATGATTCTATGTTTTCTGAGGCCTCCTCTGCCATGTGAAACTCGGAGTCAAGTTTCTTCTTTATAACTTTCTTCTTTATAAACTACCCAGTCTCAGGAAGTTCTTTATAACAGTATGAAAGTAAGCTAATACAACTTTCTATGAGATTAAGGAATAACGATGGTATGAGAACGGTCACCACTTTGACCTCAGAATGTATGAGTCCCCATTTTGTACCAGTGGTTTAATACTACACACTGATAATGACAATGTCTGTCAGGGCTCTCAGATAAACTTATTCACATGGCTTGACAAGTTTTTCTTTCAGGCATTCTCTGTACAGTCCCCAAACCCAAACCACATTATTTGAGGGTCCACTGTTAACTTCACAGTCATCATCATCACCATCATCATCAGTCTCATCATTACTATGATCATCTACTAGCTTTGATACTCAAATAATACTTTAATATTATATTAACAATATTAGTCATAGTGAGAAAGGGAAATACAATCATTATTAAGCCAGAAAATATTAAAATGAAGTTATTATTTCCCTTCCCTTGTCACAGACTTAGCCATGCATAGTAATTGAGAAATCAGCCCCTTTACATTACATGTTGATATTTAAAAGGAAGAAAGTGAAAGCC